AACAGCCACTATCAAGTTCTGGTATTGCCCTAAGTAGATTGCTCTACATCAAACAGTGTGAGCATAGCTTTCAAGATATTTTCAGCTTTTATTTTTATATTATTTTTATTATATTATTATTACTATTACTATTATTATTATTTAAATTAGTTTGCCATTCACCACACCATGTATATTTCTGTACATTAACTGAATCTTAGAGTAGATCCGCTAAAATCAATAGAACTTGTCATGCCTAATAAGCTTTTTGTTTATAAAGGGTTTATTTTAACTAAGTCTGGATCCAACCCATTGTATTAATACTGTATGCTTTTATACAGTGGTAATTGTTGTAAATTATTTTTAAGAATTAGAGACAGAAGCTTATAAAATCCTACTTTGAAAAGAAATTAAGGGAAAAAATGTAACTGACACAGCTCCATTTCAGTTTATATGATTCTGTTAGTTCCTCCATTGCTACCCACTCCTTGTTCCACACCTTCAATTGCATGAAGTAGGGTTATAAAAGTCTGGAGTACCACCATATAATATCAAAGAGTAAGATCTTCTTGCATCAGTAGTGGAAAGAAGGTATCATTTAAAGTTTCACCCATCTCTTCTAGACAGGCACAGCATAAGGTGAGGTGGGGTATGGGCTCAGTGTCTGAATTTCCTCACCATTTGAAGAATCCATCTGAGAGATTTGTCCTGAAGTAGAGACCTCTTACACTTGAAGCATTAAAAAGGGTCTAAATTATAGATTCATGCAAAAGTTAAAATTCCAGGTTGAATTGCATGTTTCAATGAATTCCTAAATGAAAGAAAGCCAATGCAACATCTATACAATACAGAGCTAAATATAGCATCTTTCTGCAAATGTGAATGCAAAGTTATTATTTGGGTGCAGTTGTTTACAGATTCAGAATAACAAAGCAGTGAATATGACACGTGCAAATGCACTATTATGCTAAGACATTTTAATGAAAAATTTTAATTGGCTCCACAATGAATGAAGTTTTGAAATAAAGTTTCACAAATTCAGGAGTGCAACAGATCTTGAGACCAAACTAGCTATGAAAGTGCTTAGGCCTCATACAATTTGCAAAAATGACAAAATACAGCTTTTACAAGAATCTACATGAAGATGATAATACTACTGTCCCCATAGTTTTAGATACTTTGGTTTAAGCAGAAGTTTAGGATTTAATTTGAAGCTATACCATTCTGTCGAATACAAGATTGTGTAGTACTTCATCCACAAGGCCAACCTGGAAGCCACGTAGTCCTGAGCCATGCAGCCCATTTCACCCGGCACTGCTTTTTCCAACTCTGGTGTTGTCAGACTAGTAGAGCAGTTGGAATTTATACCTTCCAGATGTACATAACTACCAGTATGAGCAGTGATATGAGACGCTGAGAGTGGCAGTTCAGCAACACTTCAAAAAAATACACATTTTACTATGTCTTACAAAGCACAACTAGGGCGAAATGATTTTCTAGACTAAGGGAGGAAATAAGAGTATTAAAGGATTTTTGCATCACATACCAACTTTTCTTGTCCCATGTCCTGTACCTAGCTACATTGCATTGTAAATCTAGATATTTTAGTTTAACAGCTGGCTAATTACAGTTGTATAACCAACCATTAAAGACACATTGGCTTGAAAAAAAGAGAGCTAGAATAGAAGTTCTGTATCACAATTATACCTTGTAAAGACATTTTTAAAGAAATGTTTCTTCACTGGTACATATGTTCCTTGTGCCGTTAATCTCAGACCAAAACAGGAGCAACAGTGAGTACAGTATATTTCTGTGTAATTAAGATTGCAAGTATCTGGAGTTGTCTATAATAAACAATATCAAAACATAAAGCACAATTGAAAAACAGCTTCTCATCAGCCTGAATTAATTGCAGTATCTCACTCTATTTTTATAATTAGATATGCCTTTAAATATCATCATGTGTATAAACATTGATCCATTGATCATTTTAATAAAATGAATATAGACTATGTGTGTACCTACAAATGGCTCCAAATTTGACAGAGGGAGAGTCTTGGCAAAGTATTCTGTTGGATCGTATACTGCTGGATTTGATACTAATTGTCTGGCACCATTCTAGAGTCAAGAGTAAGATCTGTGGTCCTTCGGGGATTATAAAAATGCAATTCCTAGCAACTGGATGGACAGTAATGAGGGATGCTGGGAGCTGTAGTTCAGCAAGATCTTGGAGGCTATTTTGTAAAAAGTAAATGATAGGTTGCTAACCTACGTATCTAACACTGAATGCCAGAAAACAATATAGAAGCACGTCAGGTGTCAGTGGTGAGTTCTCACTAGGCACTGAAGCTTCAGCGGCTACTCAAGAATACCACATGCTGACCACAGGTCTAATGGAAGATGTGGACAAGGGTAAATCAAGTCTTTGCTTGCATATAAATATTGTTAAGTGAACTTAGGAACCTACTCATGAACTCTCAAGCTGCTTCAAAAGTTAACAATGATGTCTGCCATGGATTTCACGGTGTACGTTTATTTCCTAAGCCACTCATATCTCGGAATATTGCCAGATTTTGTGAACCCTTGCCTTAAAAATCTGTGAGTTTTAAAATTATTATTATTGGTCTTTAACTTGAGGAATGGGGAGGATACAAGCTTTTTCTTATTATAGCCCCAGATATTGCTATGAATCTATTTTAAACTGCTGTTATAAAGATCAGCTCTTATGAATCAGGTTTTTATGGTATAAAAGGTATCTAATTTTGAAAACAACTTGCCATTACTTAATATCCTTTCAGTTAAAGCCTATTTGCAACATCCCTTTTATTTTTATACTGGTGATTTTTTTGAATGAGTACTTTTAAAGATCAGCATTCTCATAATTTAAGACATAGTAAGATGTGTGAAATTGGTTGGCAGTATTTTAACTGGCACACTTTTTTTTTTCTAAGAACAGCACCTTCTCCCAAACAAAACAAAACAAAAACCCTGAAAAGTGAACCCTACACAAACAGTCCTTACACATAGTTGCAAGCAACCAGCCCCAAGACGTAAAAATTAAATTTCAATTTCATTTGTGGAATTCAGAAAAGATGAGTGTAGCCACACCAAGCCATTTGATCTTAGTATTCAGGTGCAGAAATAAACTGGAAGAAAAAAGAATGAAAATATTGTTAAACTCCCATATGTCTGCCAACTGGAGAAATGAGATTTGTCTGATAAGCAGACACATGCACAATAACATGTCTTTTAGTAACAATGGATAACAGAAAAATAAAATAGTCATTTCCATTCTCCAGCTTTAAAACAAATCTCTTAAATTGGATAACTACCTCATTCAATAAATCCCAAGAAATTTACTAAAATTGGCAGCCATGACTCCCCTCTGCTTCATGATTCATGCCCCCAACATGGTGCTTGATTTTCATCTATAGAGATAATATACTTAGCAAATTCTATTTCTACAATAAATCCTGGAGATTTAAATCCCAGCCACTACTTTAAAAACTGAACAAATAAGTAAACTTCAGAGAACCAATGTAAGCTTTTTCTTTCTTTCTGAGACTTGTTTGGACATGATACACTGAATGATGTGCTTTGAATTGGAGCGAACTAATAATTTAGGTTCTTTTTAAATCAAGAAATTAGTTCAGTCTCTCCACTGATTCCGTATTACCAATATTCAGTCAAGTAAGAAATGGAGGTAACTTGTTCCAAAGCTACCATGTCTTCACATTAAATGATTTGACTTTCACAATGTAAAAGAAAAAGTAAATCAGTAATTAAAAAAAAAGTTCAGAGGAAATCAGGTTAATTAATCTACTCTGCTGAAATGCTGACCATAAGGAAAAAGGTCACATTGATACAACACATTTGCCATTTGCTTCTAACTAAAATGAGTGTAAAGAGTGCTCAGCATGGCAGATCAGTACAAGTAGTTCTCAACTTATGATCACAATTGAGTCCAAATTTTTCTTGCTAAAAGACAGTTGTTCAGTGAGTTTTGCCCCATTTTACAACCTTTCTTGCCACTGCTGTTAAGTGAATCATTGCAGTTGTTAAGTTGGTAACACTGTTGTTAAGTGAATCTGGCTTCCATTTAGACATTGCTTGTCAGAAGGTGGCAAATATGATCGTATGATCCCGGGACACTGCAACCGTCACAACTATGAATCAGTTGCCAAGGATCTGAAGTTTGACCATGTGACCATGGGGATGCTGCAAGTGTGAAAATGGTCAAAAGTCACATTTTTCACTGCCATTGTAACTTTGAATGGTCACTAAACAAATTGCTGTTGCTATTTGTGAGTAAAGGTACAAGACCATACAGTAGTATTTTCCAACCTGTTTTCATACAAGAGATGTCAACGGACACATTTAATATATTATATGAAGCAGGTCCTTGCTAGCCAGTGATATCTCTTCTGATAATGAAATCTTAACATCCTTTAGCCATCCAGTACAGTGCTCATGCTACGATCATAATGGCTGGTCTCTATTTTACAGCATTCGGCTGATGTAATATCTGATCATGCTTTGACTGGGTTCAGAAGGACTTTGTTGGTGACTTTAAGAAAACCAAGATTAGACTACCTTATGCAAATGTTTTCCACCTTGCTAGTCATAAAAATGATTTTCCCTTTAAAGTAGGTTTTCTTTAGAAGTGGTTTACAATTGTCATCTTCTGGGATTTTTAAAAAACTGTCTAGAGCCCTTGTATTTCTTGGATGAATCTTATCTGGCCTTTTACCAGCCCCTAGTTCTCTTATAATCGCGGTCCAAACAAGTCTGCCATCTACAGAGACACTTTCTGTTCAGCAAAATAAGCACTTACAGCATGTGTCCTTTTAAAATCAAGTTGTTTTATAACTGTGCGATACAATGTTTTGTATTTCTCTTTATAGAAGTGGGGAAGGAGACAATGCCAAGAAAATTTGTAAATGCTCTGATCAGTCATTTATACAGAAGTGTTGACTGATCATTATAAAATGAAATGAAGTCTGTCAAGATGAAGATTTCTGTTACTCACTTATAATTATGATAAGAATGATTGCACAAATTACACCCAGGATAATCATCATCTAGAAAAGAAAAGAAAATAATTAACCTCAAACTTGCTATTAAAAGGTAACTTTACTTTTATTTGAATGGAAAGACTACAGGTGTGTCCTGCTTATATGACAATGTTTAGAAGGGGCGATTTAATCTTAAAAAAAAAAAAAGATTGATTGAATCAGCCCCTTGGGGTGAATTTTCAAGCTGAACTTCATATGAATTCAAGGTGTCAAATTGTATTAAAGTGTTTCTGAATTACTTTGGAGAGATTCAAAGATAATTCAAAAATTCATTGAAGGCAGAGGGCAGTGGGAAAAAAAACAGAACCCATTGTTGGCATAGCAGTAAAAGGAAAATGGTAGGAAAACAAGTCTGGATTAACAATGAAAAAAATGATGCCCCTCAAATTTCAATGAATGTGATAGGATGGTTGGATAATAGAAGCCAAATCTGCAGCAGCTATAGCTGTACGATACAAAGGAGTGCTAAGCTCTTAAAAGTTCCTTTGTATAGCTCTGAAAAAGAAAATGAGGTTGCACTTCAATTCAATGGGAAGTGGAACACCTTATTTTCTGTACCATGGTACCACTTTGCCCTGTTTACTGGAATCAGAGCACTGCAGCCCACAGCCCTAGATGCTGTTGCTCTCAGGTGGGTTTTATAGTAGAAAGAATGTGTATAGAGGAAAAACAATAATGTTAGAAAATTGTTTTTGTACAAAGAAACCTGGAAGCAAGTCCTTGTATGAAAGAAAAAGAAACATAATGTTTGTTCTGAGTATAATATTATGTTAGATAAGCCCAAGCTGTCTATAGTAGTCTATTTAGAGATTAAACATAGCCTGATGTATTTTTCATTACTGAAGAGAGAAAAACATAATGAAAAAAGAACCAGTAACTGAAAGTGATTACAATATCCACCTAATCAATAGGAGGCATATTACATGCAGATATGTGAATTAAATTTTGCTAAACAAGGAAAGGAGGTAAAAATACAGAGTTTCTTTGCTAACTTTTCCTACATCTGCCATCATTTATTTTGTAAGAAATAAACAATCTATTTTACGTGGAAGGTTTAATTACAATATTTTGAATAAACTGTTTTTTATCCATACAATATTATAATCTCAACTCATACATTTTTACCAAATTCCAAAATTCCTGATTAGGGGTATATACGTTTTCATTTTAACTGAATTAAGGCTGATGTTTGCCCTTATTTCTCTTGGACTAAGATTACATTGTATCGTATAGTAGACAAGTATACCTTACAGTTTTTCCACCAGTATTTCCTCTTCAGCTTAGCTGCACTGGTTTCAAATTGTGAGGCCCCTGCTTGCAAAGCATCTGCTCGGTTATCAAGTTCTGAAAGCTTCTGATCTCTTTCTATTACTTTGTCTACGTTGACCCGCATGATGTCCACCACCTGAAAATGGTACAGTGTTTAGGAAACCTACTTACAAAATAATGAAGTAGAATCACTTTTTCAACATCTGTTGAAGGAAGGCAGGATAATTCTAAAACAAAGCACAACCTGCTTATTGAAAAAAAGTATACAAGACAGTTTTATTTAAATTTCAAAGGTTGTCATAGGTTTATACTGAACAAAGTGGACAATCAGTTAAATATGAGCCAGCAGTGTGCTGCAGCTGCCAAAAAAGCCAACACAGTGCTAGGCTGCATTAACAGAGGAATAGAATCAAGATCACGTGAAGCGTTAATACCACTTTACAATGCCTTAGTAAGGCCACACTTGGAATACTGCATCCAGTTTTGGTCACCACGATGTAAAAAAGATGTTGACACTCTAGAAAGAGTACAGAGAAGAGCAACAAAGATGATCAGGGGACTGGAAGCTAAAACATATAAGGAACGGTTGCTGGAATTGGGTATGCCTAGTTTAACGAAGAGAAGGACGAGGGGGGACATGATAGCAGTGTTCCAATATCTCAGGGTTGCCACAAGGAAGAGGGAGTCAAGCTATTCTCCAAAGCACCTGAAGGCAGGACAAGAAGCAACAGATGGAAACTAACTAAAGAGAGAAGCAACCTAGGACTAAGGTTGACAGTTAGAACAATTAATTAGTGGAACAACCTGCCTCCAGAAGCTGTGAATGCTCCAACACTGGAAGTTTTTAAGAAGAGACTGGACAGCCATTTGTCTGAAATGGTATCAGGTTTCCTGCCTGAGCAGGGGGTTGGACTAGATGACCTCCAAGGTCCCTTCCAACATCATCATCATCATCATCATCATCATCATCATCATCATCATCATCATCATCATCATCATCATCATCATCATCATCATCATTATTATTATTATTATTATTATTATTATTATTATTATTATTATTATTATTATTATTATTATTATTATTATTATTATTATTATTATGTCTGCTGATGTCTTTTATAACATACCATACCTTCTAGATGCAGACATTAAATGTATGCAAAAAGAAGTGAGAATATGTTTGTTGGCATTGTCTAATTTGTGCAGGGTCCAAAAGGCTAAGAATTAATTGTATGTGATAAGAGAGATTTCGGGAACCAGGAGCTAAAGGAGCAGGAACTTCAGAAACAGGGTAGGAAGGCACCTTCCCGTTGTCCTTCTGTTAATTTACTATGAGCAGGGGAGGACTACTGAACAGAGAAAATGATCACATTATTTTAGAGCACTTTTTATATTAAATTAAGAACATTTTCTGAATGGAAAAAGAAAAGATTAAGGTCAAATAATTACTTTTTGTACTAAGATGGGGAAGTACATGGAAATTGAGTCTTATAAAGTAATGAGGGCATTTTCACATTTTGATCAATAAGTGAAATAATCTGAGTTTCTACTTAATTCTTGAGAAGATGGGAAGATCAAGTTTAAACCAAGAAAATATTTTCTAAATGAGAGTAAAATGTGCTCAGTTATTAAACTTTTAAAAAATGGCATCTTCCCAAAATGATTTTCCCTCTGCTGAAATAAATATCCAATTGGATTTTCAGATCTCCATAGCAAAACACTGTTCTCATTTCATGGAAGGAAGATGAGGTAATATTATTGTTTTGAAATGACATAATAACAAATGTTGCTGATAAGAATTCATGGAAACATTGCCTTGTGAAAAACAGCAGGCTACTTGATCTGAGCTGGTGTTACTATAAGGGTTACATTGAATATTTGTAGGGATCTAAAAATATTTGCCCCTAAACAGATTAAGTGGATCCGATTTTTTCATTTTTAAAATCTATCCATAGCCACTTCCTATGTCTGTTTGGCATTGCTTTTCCAGTGCCCTTTACTATATAACACAGCTTTGCAAAAACCAATTGGAAGGTTACTTTGTAAATGATGTTGCATGGGTGTCCTAAATTCTGGACAATTGAAGATTCTTATAGGCAACACAATTTTCAAGTCACACAACAAAAAAGTTCTTACAGACAATTAATGCAACGTCTCTATACAATGTGTTTGAATACATGCAGCACTAGATTCTGTGGTATGAGCATTTAGTGCCATCTAAAGAATTGGTTTAGTAGGATTGTATTGAAGTACTACAGTATGACACTATTTATTTCTGGATTCATGCATTGTGATAAACCATGATAGTTAACTATGATTAATGAACTATTGCAGTTTTATTGAGCTGACAATACAGTAAATCATAAACCATGATTTCTTAGCTGCAATGGCTTGAGTTATTTACATGTTACATCAGAACTGAGGGAAAAATTGCTTTACATGATGCACTAAACTAGCCAGTGATTCATCTAAGTAATACACAATTATTCTGTACTAATCTCCAAATACCTTCTTAAGATACACTGTATTCTCCAAAATCACTTAAGTATTTTTCAGAAAAGACCATTGCAGAAAAATATTCTTTGTATTTCTGATTGATCATGGAGCATGTGATAAAGAGTGGCAGGATATTTCTGTGTTCTCACTTCTTGATAGTGAGTCAGCTGTTTAGAGCATTTTCCTGTACCATAGAGAATTTTCGTCTAAGGAAAGCAATAGATGTATCTGTACCTTGAGTCTTAAATTCTCTCTTCTTTTAATTGCACAGATAGTACTTATCATGCTGAACTCCTAGATCCATGGTGGCGAACCTATGGCACGTGTGCCACAGGTGGCACGCAGAGCCTTCTCTGTGGGCACACCTGCCATCCCCCCAGTCCTAGGCTTTCAGCTGTGTTTTATAAAACCTTTTCGCTTTAGGCCTCTGTCGCCATGTTCAGAAAAAAAAAGGTTCAATCAATGAATCAATTTCAACTTCTCACGGGAAAAAAAAAGATCTTGCAAAGTTGGAATTGATTGATTGAACTTTTTAGTCCCACCCAGTCTGCCGTGAACACCGAAGCCATGCCCACCCAATGGGCCACACCCACCCAATGGGCCACGCCCACCCAGCACCCGACAACACATAAGTGGGTTTTGGGTTGCAGTTTGGGCACTCGGTCTCTAAAAGGTTCGCCATCACTGTCCTAGATCATTAATGAATTAGTGCTACTTGACTGGTGTTCTTATATCTAGATTACCTTTACATACATGTTGAGTATTTTGCTGCAGTTACCTTTAAGTTCTACAATGCCAGAATGTATATGTTTAACAATTATTACATGACCATAAAACCACAAACTTAGCCATGTTTCTATGTTTCTATAAACTGTGACCTGATTCACTTCCATGTTTTATCCCCCTATGTTCCAAATTTAAAAATCATAATAATAAAATCTACAAAGATGTCTTGGGTGAAGCTCACCTCATTCACTTGAGCCTGGGTCTGCTGCAGTCTCCGATTGCTGGTCATGTTGCTCTGAGGGGGAACTCCTGGACTAGAAGCAGAACTGACACCTTGGAAAGGAACTGGAGATGACCTAAAGTAGAAATCAGTCAATATTATACCTTTAACAGAGATGTCTTTATTTTTTGTTCTAGCTCCTTTAAGGGTTTCCAGTTTTGAAACCCATCTTGTTTAGAAATGTCACACTTTTCTCTTAGGTTCATGTCCATTTTCCTCTCTTGCCCTGCTTTCAAATCCATTGTGAGAATTTCCCACTGCAAAGCTATAGAAAAAAAGTGTATAGAGAGGAAGCAACCAGGAGGCTAGAATTGGGCAGCAAACCCACAGTACTTTTTATCTCCAAGGGTTTCATGTTCAATTATGTCCCTGGAAGCCACCAGAGTTTCTCAGATGACCATAGTCACATCCCTGTCACTACTTTGGGGTCAATATTGTGCCACATCTTCCATTCAGATAGATGTACCCTATCTCCCATTATATCTCCCCACAGCCATCTCTCAGTCTCTTTTCTATAATATATACAAAGAAGATGGCCAAAATAGCCAATAGGACACAAATGAGTTTCACCAACCTGCTCTTTTTCCATTGCCATCCATGGTCCTTAGTACAATCTCTCTCTCTCTCTCTCTCTCTCGTTCGCTCTCTCTCTCTCATTCTCTCTCTCTCACACACATTCTCTCATTCTCTCTCTCTCTCCCTGCAAAGATCATGACTATGAAAAACAGTCATAAGTCACCTTTTTCAGTACTGTTGTACCTTTGAACGGTCATTAAACGAACTGTTGTAAGTAGAGGACTACCTGTCTTACATTTGATGATATATTTATGGTTTTCATTTAGTAGTATAGTTAGAATTAAAGGTAGGCTTAGAAAAATGATGAATCCTAAAATCTAATGCCAACCTGAGAAATTCTACTTGGAATCAAGCTTTCAGGCTTGTTAAATTTATTTATTTATTTAAATGCTAAGCAACACTAAGTAAACAATGAACTGTGGGGTGTGGCAGACAGAGAAGGATTAAGCAGGAAAGAAAATGAACATAGAAAAGCATAGAAAGCTGCTTCAGATGAATGAAATGATTACTCATCTAGTTTATATTGTCAACATTAATAGGCAGCAAATTTCCAAGGTTTCAGGCAGGAAGTCTTTTCAATTCTGCCTAGTGATCTTGAGAATTGAATCTGGAATCCTAAGCATGCAATATATATTTCTTATGATCATTTATTCAAAAGTTATTAATTAACATTGGCAATGACTAAATTATATGGATGCATCAAGGAAATAACAGAATATGTTTATTGAATAAGTTGTGCATCAGAACTAAATATGATATAGTCTAACCAGATTTTATTTGTAATCAAACCAACACCAATACAATTTAAAGATAATTGGTGGAGTGTGGGAGTGGGACATATAGCAAAACATGGGGTTCACATGTATTCCAGTAAAATATATGGATCACATAGTCCATGGTTTAATATGTTGTGTGAATCCAGAGTATTAAGATTTAATCACTAACCATGATTAAGCAAATGATAACTTAGTGCACTGTGCGAACAAAGACAAAGAATGTTATACTGATTCTGAACACTTTGGAATTTATGACAAAATCACTTCCTCTATTAAAAACCTCATAATGATCAAGTTTGAATTGTTCAGTGAAAAAGTATAAAATTGCCTGCAAAATTTGTATAGTGAAGTCTGTAACACTATCCTTAAAAATACAGTCCTGTAAAGCAAAGATGTGGATATAAGCAGTGAATATATTTACACCAAGGACTTGTCAGCCACACATTTTGCATGGCATGGAAAAAGTGTAAACTTATGATAAGCCACTAGCTCTTCTTTAAAAAAACCATTCACATAATTAACCCTTGGATGGCCAATATCTTAAGAAAAAAAGGAAAATACAACTCAAACCAAATCATTTTAATAACTGTACTTCATAAAATTCATTACATACATAATTTAAATAGACAATGCTGAGGAAGGATGCTTGCAAATCTACATTCCATTACATTAGATTCCATTTGAGCATCTTTTTTTCCAAGTCAAAGGATACATTTATATTCCAGCCACCTGATTTTGTTTAAATTAATGTACTGCTTTCTTCAATTTTTCATGTATTGTTTTCCTCCAATTTTCAGTTTATCAGATAAATGTATCATTTTTCTCATGTTTGCATTTATGGTTCTTAAATCTACACCACTGGGAATGATAAGGCAAGAGAGTGGCTGGTATTGGCATTTTTTTAAAAAATAAAAGAATGTATAACTGTGTGAAATGAATGACATATTCTTATGGCCCTTCATATGTTTGCTTTCATCCAGAGATGTCTGCAGAATATGGACAAAAACATCAAGATTGGTAGCCATGAAGGTCCAATCAAAGCTCTGCACATTTACATGCATCACACATGCAATGCACATAAAAAACAGGCAAAGACATTTGACTTTTTTGATTATACCATGCAGACATCCCTGTTCCCAGCATTTCTTATTACTGACTATGCAGACTGATGTTGGTTGCTTGGAAGTACAACTCAGAAACATCTGGAGACAAGAAACTTACTAATTATCCTCGTTCAATGTCTATGTAAAAAAATAAAGTAAACCTCCAGTAGTCTAGGTGTATCATCTCTTTCAAATTAGTTGATAAACATAAACAATCCATGTGATGAATAATTCATTACTTATTACACATGGATTAAATCAGGGGTCTTCAAATGTGGCCCTTTTATGACTTGTGGACTTCAACTCCCAGAATTCCTCAACCAGGAACGAGGAATTCATGGGAGTTGAAGTCCACAAGTCATAAAAGGGCCAAGTTTGAAGACCCCTGGATTAAATCATTAAAAGGATTCTTTTCTGTGAAGAAACTATAGGGAATGGCTTTGATGCTGCTATGATCAGGCCAATGCAACCCACGTCACTAAATCAGATGTCGTTGTTATCCAAGAGTAATAGTGTAAAACAACATGAGTTCTTCACATAACAGAAAAGTAGAATACCAGTAATGAAAGTTTGCATTCAATTCGTGATTCATTGCCTTGAAAGCACTCATAGCACACATTTTGTGCATGATTATAACCCATGATGCCACCGAGTGAGACAGGAGTGATGTGGCACAGTGCACTGTGCTCTAGCTTACCTATCTTAGTCACTTACACAGAGACATTTCCTGTACAGTTCTTTGATGCTAACATTTCCAGATGATTTTGACTTACAAAAGTTGTAAAGGTTCTGTTTACTTCTTTCTTTGACTTTAAAAAATATGGTTTATAATAAACCAGGTTTTTGATACTGAAGAACTTGCTATTTAGCACATCCAGCCCATGGAAGACTAAGCATGATAAATGGGTATGGAATATAAGTTGTTTTGGGGGTTGATTATTGGGGTAGAGGATTAGATAGATACATAGACAGACAGACATCAGCTGAGCTAAGTAAGGGAATAGAATATCACAGAAAGGTTTATGTAGCTAGAATAATAAATAGAATAAATAATTCTAATAAATAGAAATGCTGTTATGTCCCATTTTTATTCACATTAAAGATCTAGTATATTAATAAAATAGTGCTCAGTATAAGAAATACAAGTAGTCTTTGTTTAGTGAGTTGCTTTGCAGTGATGACGATGATGGTAAAGTAACTTTTGACCAATATCCACATTTATGACCTTCTGTAAAGGAAAGGAAAGTAAGATAAAAAAACACAGTCACAATTTCACTTAGCAACTGCTTCATTTAATGACTAAGGTGCTGGTTCCAAATGTCACGAAATAAGGACTGCCTATACACAGAGTAAGCAACTGAAGACTAATGGTTCAGAAAGAACAGAATTCAGAATGAACAGAACAGGCTCATTTTTTTCTACCTCGGACACTATGTGAATATTTAGCTTTCTAGAGCACAGGTCCCCAATCTTTTGGGCACCAGGGACTGGTTCAGTGGAGAGAGGTTTTTCCGCAGAACGGAGGGTGTGTGGTTTTGTGTGCTGCCTACATCTCGTGGATGGGGTTTCACTTGTTTGTGCGGACCGGTTGCTGGTATGCCTCGCTCCAGTACTGGTCCACGGACTGGGGGTTGGGGACCCCTGTTCTAGAGAAGGATCCAATAGTGGGAAAGGTAGAAGGAGAAACAAGAAGAGGATGACCAGCAACAAGGCAATGAGTGCGTTATTGGTAGATCTGAAAGACCAGGTTAGGAAGATTGTCAAGGAGAAAATCTATCTATGTGGTCACTAACAATGACTTGATGGCACATAATCAGTCATAGAATTGGGAGTGCTGGATTACAGGCTGAGAACCACTGATTTAAAATAGAACATATTAAAGGAGTACTATTTTAGTAGTATTGGTAGTAGTAACAACAATGAATGCAAGAAATTGTCATTTTTACTTAGGAAGGGTTCCATTAGCAATATAGACTTTCATAATCCTGGCATTGGGTATAGACAGTTGAAGCTACAGAGGATCAATAGCATATTTTTTGTGTTGATTTAATATGGTCATACTAGAATACAGACAAAACAAGTTAAATCTAGCTGAAATGTTAGTAGAGTTTATGTAATTCTACAGCAGGAAATGGGTGCCTTAATCATTACAGAACATTCACACAAACAAAAGTATTTGACGTCATCCTGTATTACATACACAGAGCTAGGCAACAACATCAATAGCAAGAACTGCAGAACAAGTTCATAATTGCTGGAAAGGTACAGGGGATTACATTAAACCCAGCAGAATCTGGAAAAGACAGATGTACAGTTAAAACACTTTGCTCAGAGATTCAAAGATGAAACAAATATAAATAGACTTCCAAGCCTCTAGTTGTTCAAAAAGCTACTGTAAGGGAAGAAATATGCTGTTATTTGCATTTGGCTTCTTGGATCAATGGAACGAGTCTTTCAGTCACATGGAATTAATTGCTTGTCTTGAGAACCATAATACTGAACGTACATAACACATATTGTGAAGATACTAAAGACGTATAAAACATGCTGAGCAACTCAATGCATACTGTATTTACAAAGAAGGAAATTACACAGCACCACTTTGCATCTTTGCATTAAAG